ACTTGTTTACCGTTAGGTTACCTGTGTATTCATAAACCGGCGAGACGATGGAAGACTCCCATAGTACGTCAGTTACTAATATCCACTTTAAGCCGCGCCTGAAGTTCCAATCTGACTTCAGCAATCCTCTCTCTAGCGACCTGTTCACTAATTATTTGGCATCAGATATATCTGATCCTTCCTCAAAACTTTCCCATATAAATAAGACTATTTGTAGACGAGTGTGCTGACACGCAAATCGAAAAACCTGAGCATCGGATATTTGTGCATGCCATCATATTGTTGCATAGGCATCGAAAACTACTGCGCACTTTACCCGAAGCCGATTGTGCGGTCTTCGCGCGCTTCCGCTGCCCTCACTCAAAGCGAAAATCATGCCACCGCCCTGGGTGGCAAACGTAGTTACTACGCCACTACTTGGAAGCCTACCCTCCAAGGGAACTTGTTATTACCTCGGTGTGACGGATTATTGGAATGCACCTAATCGTCTTTCACACTGCATGGTTTTGATTTCAAAAGCGATATTGTTGGAAACACTTTTATGTAATCCAATACTTCATCTACTTGTTGGTAAGTATTTATATGTCACTAGCGAAAATGTATAAGTTCTGAAAGAGCACGGGGTTATTCAACAGGAAAAACTTTAACACAGCCTGCTTCCCTATCTCAAAATAAACTGGAAGCCCCCTGGAAATGCATGGTTTCATAGTTTTGGAAGCTTTTAGAATAACAATGGGTTTGTATTGCGGCCACCTTCACCGCTTGACAAAAGAGCTTCTTCAGGCTATGTGAGCTACTCCTCTTCCTTTTCGGCGAATCAGCCAGCACTGTATACTCAGCATGTTCACAATGGGCTATAAGGGAAGATGTAAGCAATGTGGATGACCAATTCAATTTGATATGACTTAGGTTTTTCCACCGACACGCCCCATTACTGTGCTTGTCAGGAAAATACAAACCTCGGACTCCTCACTTGGTGTACGCAGTATCCTACAATGGAGTTAATGTTGACGGAGCACACTTGTGAAGAACCGCCTAGAGAAGCTCGGGGTGCCCTTGCTTTCAGTTGTACTACCAGTTATCAGTTACTCTTCAACTAATGTCATTGTCAACCTATTTGCTTTGTTTCTTAATAATAATTTGGGTACTATTTCTGAGTAGGGAAACCTGAAAGATAATATGTATGCACCTAACTGAGTCCATTAATTAGACGCTACCAGAATTACATTTGGAAGCACTCTATCCACAATGATACTGACGCAACATTGTAATTCCTCAGATGCAGTCTGAATTTCCGGATGGACTGGACCCCAATTTGGCAGATCGCCGAACAAAAGGCGTATGAACCGTGCAACCGGTCACCCGCTCCCAGTGGACACGATCTCCTGACTTCGCTCCACTGCCTTACGGGTAATTTATTGAGCCAAAGGCTCAGGGCAGAGTCCCCTAAGTCAGCTCTCTACCTCGGCTTGGGCAACCAGGTAGTATACTGCCCGCGGAGAAAAACCATGGATTTAGATTCTTTGCACGTTTCCACTACTGCTACTTTTGTCGTTCGTCAACTTCCATCACACACCAACACTTCCTTTGTTGTCAATCCTAGCTCCGTTGATTCTGCCTCCAATCCCGGTTTTGCCAACACCCGAAAATCTCAATCGACAGCCATGGCTTAACCTCGATCGATGTTCCCATTGACCTGCTTCAACGTACGAACGCTTATGCAGTCTGGTCAACAGCTCGGCCCGGCGCGTACCCTGGATTGACTCGCCATTAACGTTTGTTGCGTTTCCGAAACCCGGTTGCAGGATCCAAGCAATGCACTCAGACTGACGTCCCCTTCTGATCGCGGGACTATATACCAACTGCGCCTATTCACTGACGCAGAAGCAGCTGCGACAGGTTTGGCTGGCGTCGGGATAGCGTTAAGTAAAAAAGCCGAAACTGCGTTGCTAAACTGGTTAACAGTTAACAATCGGCTTTGCGCAGTTCGGCTTCAGGTATCATGTCGTATCAACAGACATCGCAAAGAAACACGCAACTTGTTTGTCATATCTGCTTAGGCCCCAAATGACTGCAGCAGCGACTCTATCAAGGATGACTTGTACCGCGAACTTCATCTTCTGAGTAAAGTGGACAAGTCAGATGTTGTTATACTAGTTGGTGATTTTAATGCAGTCGCCGGCTTCCGTTTGAACGCATTTAACAAGAGAAGCACAGCTAGTGGGGACCGGCTTCTCGCATTGTGAAAGTACAACCGCCTGTTCCTCTCCAGCACCAATTTCAGGCATAACAAGAGACGTTCCACAACCTGGAGCTCTTCGTCGTCAACACATTTCTGGCCCCAGATCGACTACATCGCAATCAGTTTCCGTTGGCGAGTTAGTGTACAATACTGCAGGTCATTCTGCTCAACTTAGCTCGACTCAGATCACGCGCTGGTTTGTGCGGACATCTGCATGCACTTCGGTGGGCCTCGGAAACAACTGCACCATAAGATTGACGCAAAAGGATAAGTTGACCAATCTGTCCAACTGAGCTATCAGGCTGCACTATCAGATGCTCTCACCTGTAGTCCACGCCAGAATGTTGAGCAACATTGGCCTTGTTTTACTTATGAGCAGAAGGATTTTATTGAGCAATTTTGTTCGTCTCAATCAGCCGACAATTCAGCTAAGTCAACTACCCATCCGGAAAAGCCTTTCCGGATAGGTAGTTGACTTAGCTGAATTGTCGGCTGATTGCGACGAACAAAAATTGGCCTTGTTTGCATGCAGCGATGCTTTCCTTTGGTCAAACGATTTGTGGTCTAACCCAATACCTTTTGAAAAGTTGGATCTACGCTCGCTCGGTAAAACCGCTGGACCGCCATCCAAATGTACCACCAACGTCAGCTCGTAATCCTACGCGACAGACACCCAATCAGCAACTCAAACAAAACTATCTTAATGACCGCGAGACTTGGTGGTCTCAGTGCGTCTTGGAGATAGAGACCGCTGCTCTATCCGGCAATTTCCGCAAGTTCTTCCAGCTAATTCAGTTCACTGGCCCCAGAAGGCCTGGTGTCAGCGAGACTATCTGTGAAGCGGATGAGTCAAGAACCACTAAACTGTGAAGGAGCGTAGTGGGTTGGTTGGAACATTCTCATTCCCAATTCAATCCCCATCCATTTTCAGCTAGTATGCCAAGTACACGCAATTGCATGCCCTGGCCATTTCCTTGGAGCCACCTACTGAAGCGAAGGTACTCCTCGAGATTAGACACCTTAAGCGATTATAGTCTGCCGGCTCGGACAAACTTCCTCCGGAGATGTTCAAGTTTGGCGGCCCATTACTTGTCAAGCAGTTGACATCGCTGCTCTCCAAGATATGGCACGAAGAGAAGATTCCATCCACCTGGGGTGAGTCAGTAATTGACCCAATGTTCAAGAAAGCTGCTTGCACATCCTGTGCTAATCATAAGGGAATCAACCTCATGCCGGCTACTTTCAAACTGTTGGTATGCATTCTACTCCTCAGATTCTCCCCGATTCGCGAATCGTTTTTACCGAGGAGTACAAGCTGGTTTTTGACCTGGTCGTGGATGCGTGGAGCAGATCTTCACGCTACACGAAATCCTTGAATACCGCCATCTCTATCATCAGCCAACCAATGTCCTTTTTCTGGACATTCGAGCTGCATATGACTCAGTTGATCAGCTTGTCTTATGGCACTGTCTGCTAAGAAATGGAGTCCCCGAAAATTAAACTATCATTCGGGCGCTTTACTTCTAAGTGTTAGGTAAAGTGAGGGTCTATGGCAAGCTTTCCTTACCCTTCGCTATGACTACTTGTGTGCAACAAGGGTGCCCGTTGTCTCCATTCTTCCTCAAGTTTGCAATTGAGGACGTCCTGTCGAGATCTATGGAAGGCTCCCAAAATCTCTGTGTTGATCTTCTTCCTAGCAGTCGCGTGACCGACTTAGATTATGCTGAGGATATGGCTCTGCTCGGTGACAATTCACAGAGTGTACAGCTAATTTTGAACCGTCTGGCGATTGAAAGGTCTAAGTATGGTATGCACTTTTCGCCCTTGGTGGTTAAAGTGCTACTCCAGGAGTGGAAGTCGTCTTCCCCCTCATTTACCATTGAATGAACACAGTTAGAGCTGGTGGACAACTTTGTCCACCTCAGAAGCTGTATTTCTGCTGATTGCACTATTGGAAAAGAGGTATTTCTTCCATCACCAGAGCTCGGTCTGCAAGTACCAACCTGAGTCCTTTGTGACGTCGTCTGGACATATCCCTCTCCTTAAAGAGGTGTCTAAAAGGCTTGTGTCCGCGTGGTCCTGCTGTACGGAAGTGAGTCCTGGTCGATTCGCGTGGATGAGACTTGTAGGCTTTCGGCCTTCGACAACACATGTTTGCAGCGGATAGCCCGTGTGTGGTGGCAGCACCTGGTTCGCAGCGATGAAGTTCGGTTTTGCGCCTTGAGAAACATGAGCCCTCCGCTTAATCGCTTTATCGCATTGCGTCAATTGAGGTGGCTTGGTCACGTTCTACGTACGTAATGCGAGCGCTTACCACGCCGCGTCTTATTTACTCCCACGATATTGAATTGGAAGAGAACGCATGGAGGTCGGCCAACCACTTGGCAGCAAACCATGAAATCGCTGACCTCCTGTCTCGCAATCGTCGGCCCAGTACGTGTTCCTGGTTGGGGACGCAAGGATGAGGACTACAAATCGCTTGACACACGCAATATGGTGAGAAACCAGAATCAATGGAAGGACTGTATACTAAAATGTTTTGAACAATGTGATTCGAACTGTACCATTCAAATGCTGAAAAAACCAAACTGACGTGTGAAAAAGTACAAAAGTTACAAAAAGCCAAAAAAATCAAAACAGCTTTGTTATTTACTCCTGACATTTGTGATTTTTTCTGTTTTGTTCCTCATGGTTTTTCCGATGGCTCAATGTCTGTTTATAGACTACTGCAAATCTATATACATATATATATTTGCAGGTGAACAATACACTTATAGAGTTACATTTGGCCAAAGTCAATATGCGGGACTTCGGTGCTGAACGCATCGCAGATGCATTGGAGCGAAACAGTACCCTGCAACTCCTCGACATAAGTGGGTAAGACACTAATTTATAACGTAAACAACTTCGGTGCGTTCGTTGTTACCAACTCATTAGTTTATCTTGAGCACACAAACGTTCATTCACTTGAAGGAAGATTAGAAACCGTTAGTTGCGCCTAATGCAAACTGAGTACCTTCTCTAAAGCCCGACTTCTTCCGTTCAAACAGTTAATACCGTTGCGTAAGTCTTGGTTACTATAATTCGTTTTCCTGTTGTAACCAAAGGATCGTATTACTTCCCCTTAACCGACACTGGGTTCTCCGCAACGCGACCTAAATTACGGTTATATGAGGAGATGCTATTTTCTTGTTGCTCTAAATTGTGATAGCACGAGAGTGCGTCTTGTTTAAATACTGACTTGTACTCTTTATCGATTCAGCTGCGCATTACATCGAGAAATACCTAATTTTGTTTATTTGTTTCCTTAATCAAATGTTGAGTTTCCTGCTTGACATTCATTGAAGGCTTTTATCCAGAGTTTTCTTAGCATTTGAGCAAGCCTAGCAAATCTGATGTCGTTGTTCTTGCTGTGGCCACTTGTTACCATGCAAACGTTAACGACATTGGCACCACGCGCTCGAGGTAGACCGCTCAGATAACGGAACTAGAATTGCCACATTATACAAAGACAACCATCAATGTTTTTCGAGCATCAGCTGCAGGTATATGAAGAGACGTTCTGCAAGTTGGAGCTGTATGACACAACCCACATTTTTCCTCTGCCACTGCCATCATTTAATTGTCATGGGCCATATCACGTAGTATAAATTTGTCAGTGTCGTCAAGTCATTTTTGTAATAGTGATAAGGTGGGCATACTAATTAGATGCGCTGGGAGGGGGTTCCAAGACTATGACACACGGAGGTAGAAAATGTTTCATTGCCATTCAACTCGGCTGTGCTGCGTGGCCATCTCAAACTGATGGCGCCTCAGATGTCAGTTGAGTTACAAAAGATGGTGGTAAGCGTGGTTGGGGTGTTTAAGATCTGGTGCGACATTCTGAGATCGCTCCGTACACGTTCATTACTTCCGCCGTATACTCCTAGGGTTTTAGTCCGCGTGATTATGGAATATGGCACAAACCTTTGACGTTCTTTGTCGCCCTGTGTTGTGCAGTATCAGGTGTGGTGGGGTGATGCTGCTGCCAGGGTTGCCAAGGTTGGATAGCGTATTCCGCGCGCAACCCCAAGCGCGTCAGACATTTGCGGAAAGGCTGCGACCACAAACTTCTCGCACGCTCTACGTAGAAGGCCGAAGTGTTGGCTGGCTTTCTTTGATGCCTTTTCAGTCTGCCTCAAACAATCAAGGTCCTCTTGCACGTGCACACCGACATCGCGCTCAAGAGAATTGTGATGTGAAATTTATGGTTTAACCGGTAGTCGTGAGTTACCTCATCGCTTATGCTCAGTAATTTGCACTTGACGGCCTTGAGCTGGAACATGTTCTCGGCGGACCATGTGTGTACTTTATGCAGATCTCTTGCATGGCTATGTGACCATCCACTGCGTTGATAGCACGCCATATCTTTAGGTCATCGACAAACAGAGAATTTGAAGATAGCACCATCTCGATGTCTTTTATGATGACCAGGAACAGGCGTGGCCCGAGTACCGAGCCCTGAGTCATGTCGCACTGAAATTGGATTGGTTCGGATAGCGTGCCGCAAGCCTTCACTTTCAGATGAATTTGAAGTAAATTGCATCTCCACACCAGAATGTGATGTGAAGTCGGATGCGATGATCCAAGCAGAATAGCAGTGCATGATCGATTTTGGCGAAATTCCTTTGGCTCCTGAACGCGAAATTATTACTCTCCAGATACCTTGCAATTGTGTCAGCCATAATAGATCTATGACCTTAGAAATCACCAGAAGTATTGTTAAGTGGCCAATACTTTGATAGTTCTGCATGGCTGATACTTTCGTAGACTAGAGTGATGATCCCGTGTTTTCACCTTGTATGAACCTGCATTCGTTAAGACATCTTTGCGGACGGTTCAGCTAAACTCATGGTAGCCACTTTCAACGCATTTGTACAAATGCCATCTACACGAGAGAAGCTGTACTAGCGCAAGATTATTATTCGCTTCAGCATATCCACTGTAGTAAATGATATGCGGTTAAGCCCTGACGGCGGCATGATCTGCGTAAGCTGAATGTAAAATGACGATACATTTTGGCAATCACGGCTGAGTTGTTGTCCAAGGAGGTTGGCCGCCTCTGGTGCCGTTTGCACTAACCCGTATTTTGAGTGCAAAGCAGGAATCCGCGCTTAACCCCGCGAAATTTTTTCTCGTATCCACAAAGTGAATTAGGGTTAGAGGGAAATCCTATCACAAGGCCATGTCGTTAGTTTAGTTGCCTTTCGGACGTGGTTGACGTAGTGATTCTTTTGCCTTGCATAGACATCTAATCTCCGTGCATAGATAGGCTGTGTAGGCGAGCCAAGCCGGATCCATTAATGCCATAGAATTACGAATCCTGCGCATTATAAACGGATTCATCATTTTCAAATGGCGCACTTTTTGTTTTCTGATGTGCTGGCCAGTAGTCTGTTGAATCGGTTAAAAATTTCCCCTCGGGCCACCTCAGGGGACTATTCGTCTATGAAATACCAGCCTGTCGCATCAAGCGCGGCCTCATACTGTACACCATGTTATCGGCTTCAGATGGCAGGGTAGCGTAGGGACTGCAGGTTATTTCGGTCCACCTTCATTGACTCAGTTCATGTGCTGGTCTGTACGAAAATCCGCACTTGTTCTGTGGGACGTCAAAACGATGCACCGCAAGATTGATGAGGACAGATTAACTGATCACTTGGTCCTGGCAAACTAACAGTCTTCACTGGTAGACGCACGCAGTCGCAGTTCGCCACAAGCTGTTCAGCTGCATTGGACGTCTATGCAGAAGGCAATTATCCCTTCTGGACAATCAAGTTGCGACTTAGCTCGACTCCCTTTAAAGGCTTGGGTCTGTGCTCGCTCTCTGGAGCTGTTCGACTGTCGCAAAAATATCCCGGAAGCATCAGCTTCTAATGAGCGGCCACACTCTGCAATCTGGCAGTAAAGCCTGTGTAAAGGTCTCGAGACTTTGTGGTCTGAGCACGCCTTGGCTATCGAGACCGCTGCCTTCTCTGGCTACTATCGTAAGCTTTTCCAGCTGATTCGGTACAATGGCCTCAGGAAGCCTGATATCATTGAGTGTCAGATCACTAAGCGGCAACGGAGTTTGGGCCAGTGTACCTAACAGTTCCATTCGCAGTTCAACTGGTCCCACCGATTATCTGTGCTCGGAATATGCCCAATTTCCCACCTTGGCCTTACCTACTAGGTCCACCCAGCAACGTGAAACATTGGCTTGAGGTTTTACACTGGAAAATTGTCCGAAAGTACGAAACGATTTCCCAAAAACCATTATTTCAACGATTACTAGGTTGACATTGATAATCTATCCATTTCAAGCATTCTGGCGTGTTGCGAAGCTCCTAGTGGCAGCACAAACTCTTGAGAATTGGCTGGATCGGTACGACTTTGCTAATTTTATTAGTTGAATTTTTGTTCTAGTAGCTGTTACTTGCTTCTCTATAAATACGGCCAAGGTCTGACTCCGTTTTACAGGGCATTCACGGCTTTCCATCTAATACAATATTTTGTCAGGGTCACTTGTTTACTGATTTTTCCTTTCGGTTTTAGAAATAAGTATTGCGTGGGATTTGGGAGTTTTAATCATTATAAAAATTCGGAAGATCCAGCGAAGTGACTCAAGGCTGTTGGATAAGATACACTTTTCTGTATCATTTCAAGTAAGGCAGTATGGTAATCATTATCCAGATGACCAAGTTGTTCTCTAAAATCCCGAAGAAAGTAGCAATGCTTCCTCCTGAGGCTGAACAATTATTGCCACAATTTTCAAGAAAGGCGCTCGCAATTATTGCGTTAATTGTCGACGGACTAGTCTTCTTTTGGCTGCCTCAAGGCTATTGGCATTCATTCTGCTTTGTAGACTATCCCAATATTTGTGTCATACAACCGTGGAGAACAGGCTGATTTCCGCCCTGGCAGTGGATGCGTGGAGCACATTTACACGCTACCCAAACTCCTCGAACACTGCGACCTTTACTACAGGTCTGCCATGGTCGCATCCCTAGACATGGGCGCTGCATTCGACTCGGTTGAGCAACCTGCTTTTTAGCATTGCCTGCTAAAGAAGGGGAAGCCAGAGAAGTATGCCACCATCTTACGTGCACGCTACCTTCATACCTCCGGCAGTGTGATGATCTAAGGCAAGCTTTTCTCTCCTCAGGCTGTCAATAGCGGTGCGCGACAGGACCGCCTTGTGTCTCCGTTCCTGTACAACTTTGCATTCGAGGTCCTAACGATATCTTTAGAGGGCTTCAAAAATTTTATCTTTAGCTTCTACCGGGCGAGCACGCGACCGGCTTAGATTACGATGATAACACCGCCTAAATTAGTGACCATCCGCTGGGTATGTAACTGAGTCTGAAGTGCACGGCGGTTGATGCATACACTTATGGCATGAGCTTCACCAACTAAGTGTAAAGTACTGACCTGAGGTTGGCTTATACCCGCACTCGCGCCCACCCTTGATGGTGCGCAGCTCAAAGAGGTAAACAGTCTCGTCTAACTTGGGAGCTATATTTCTGTTAGCCGCGCTACCGGCAAGGATGTTTCTATCCGCACCGCCAAAGTCCGATCAGAATTTGTCAATCTGAGGCACTTGTGGCTTTGTCGTGAAGTCTGCATCTTGATAAAAGGCCATGTGCATGGTGACTCAGTTTGTTTATTGTAATTGCATGAGAGCTGGTCGTGGCCGATTCACGTGGCGGACATCTACCGTTTTTCCCCGTCGACATTGATTGTTTGAGGAGGATTCCTCGTGTGTGCTAGCAACACCGAGTTCACAGTAGTGATGTTGAATGTCGCACCATTGTGAATGCGAGTAGTCCCTCTAACAAGCTGGTTTGGTTCCGCCAGTTGAGATGGCTGGGTCACGTTCTACGCATGGCGCCGGAGCTTTTGGCAGGCCGCGCCTTATTCACTCATTCAGGATAGGGTTGTAAGCGACCGTATAATCGTCAGCGTCGCACTTGGTGGCAGCACATGAATTCACTGACATCACGTTTAGGCGCCATTGAACCAGTACGTCCTGCTGGGGGACGACCCAAGGAGGAGGAGTGCCGTGCTTTGACAAACTTAAAGACATGGCTCTCGACCGGAATCAGTGGGTGTGTGTCCGGAATTGACTTGTTTGACATATTTATTACTTCCAGTATAACAAATAGCAACAGGATGAGCGCGTGCAAACAAATGAAAACGTGTCTTTCCGTGTTTGCACAGGCTGTTTCTCTTTCATTTTCTTGTTTTTTCCGATAGCACCAGATATATTGCCTAATTTGTTGATTGTATACATATATACAGCTAAACAATCGCAAAGTGGTTGTCTTGTTCACCTTTGTCCGCTTATGAATGTTTTGATCCTACCGTGCCTTTGTGAACCGTTCCGTCTTAGAAACCGTATAGCACGTGATGGAGCTGTGGCTTTGTCTCGTGTCCTAATGGCAGACTGCTCTCTCGTCATTTTGGATCTGGCCTTCAATCGTATTCAATGCGCAGGTGCAAAAGCGATTGCAACTGCCCTACTGACGAACACCAGACTTAAGGTGTAAGTACACATATTAACCGAAGTTTCTTAAGTGATCTAAACTAATACTTTGCCAATGTAGAACATATGCATTCTTTAGAGGCAATATTTTCTTGTTACTAAGCCATTCCGGTGCGAAGAGCCAAGATATCCTGCTGTGTAGTGAACTTTCAAAAGCAAGTGTGCTAACTCGATCTAGTTAGATGTGGACAGAACTGATTGTTGTTAGTCACTTCCTTGGCGGCTGATCTGGTCACACCCGAAAGCGCAAATAAGCAAGTGAAGCTACGCACTTAAATATGGATCCAGCACAGAGCAAACCTGCTTACGCGACAACTCTTTTGGATTGATCTGCGTTACTTTACTTATCCAGTGCTTTGACAATTCCAGGGGAAGGTTTTCCCTAATGGAAACGTAAATAGTGTATAGAATACATGCGTAGTGTCCCGGAAATAAAAGTTTACAGCTTCGTAGTCAACGTCTCTTGAACTGCAATGCTAATATACCGACAAATGTTTCATGGATCACACAAGCTCGGTACCTAGCTACCGTATAGTAGTATGTCGAAATTAGTTGGAAATATCTTTTAACCAGCATCTCAACCTTTAATACCTCCGCAACGCCTCTCGAATTCAAACTTTCACAACCACCAAAACTGGATTGTGTTTCTCTCACGTATGGTAGAAGATTGTGTGCATGTTGAGGAAAGGGTGAATAAAAATGGAGTCAAATTGTTTTGTACTGCAGAAAGCAGTAGGGCACCAATTCATTGACATCAGTGTGAAGAAATCGTCCGCTTCTATTAGCTGCACAAACTTTGCTTTCATCAACGTATCATTTTATGACTGTGCTTGTCACCTTGTAGCTCAGTACAATTGCTAAAGATGATACATGGTTATTTTATTTTCATGAATATGTTTAATATCTTAAGGTTAGCTGCTTGCACTAACTTGTAGGGATTTGACGAAGTTAGCTTGAATACAATTGCATGCTCCTTTAAGGTGTCAAAACAGTACAGTGGTTTTCTGCTGGTTTTTGAACTTCGTTGAGTCACTTTTATCGCTACACTTCGTATCAGTGCAGACTACTCATTCTTTCTTTGTTTACAGGCTTGCGGTACAATTCTGTGAACTCAAAGGCCCTGGCTTGTGCAGCTTGGCAGAAGCACTGATCACTAATAACACATTGAATAATATTTACATATGGGGTAATGAACACGATGAATCTACCTGCATTGTGAGTTCCTTAAGAGAGTGTAAATTCCTCTGGTGACGGACCTATTGATTTCACCAAACAGTAAACGCTGTATGTACTACGGGGTTAGCTAAATGCGCCATTATCGTACTTGGGTGAAATATTGATTTTGTCTCCTTTTGTCTTAGTATCTGATCCCAAATGTTTGGAGTCAAAATACTTCCAAACCATTCAATACTTGATCGAAACTCAACATGAATATTCAAGTTAACTAGTTTTGTTAAAAAGGATCAAAAAATCAAATTGTGACGATACAAAGAACGATATTTTATCTCTTTTTATTGATACACTTTTTCAGTTGAACTTCGAGGCTGATTTGAACTCCGGCGTATTGCTCCCAACACAACAGAGCCAGCAAACTGAGTTTCACCAGTTGGTTTTCGATAATAGCTACTTTGACGCCGCATTAAATAACCTATTGAAATTAAAGGGCGAATACCTTACCCCCGAGTTACTGTTGCACGTGCATGGCGACAGTTAACCCAGGTGTTTGTGATTTGTCCGCGTTGTGGCTTGATTAATGAAGCGTCTTGGCGACTAGAAGAGGCCAAGACAGTCGGCCATGGCGAGAGGTACCGGTGGATCGGTTTTATATGTGCGTTTATTATTTCTGCATTCCGCCAGACGGCTTTTCAGGTCACATTATTAGATTTGGCAAGTAATTCATTAATCGGACGTTATGGAATGATAAGTAGAGATTAAAATGAGAAAAGAAACCTGGAAGAGTAATATCCAGTAAGTCTAGAGTAGCAAGTGATATATATATATATATATATATATATATATATATATATCTTAGGAGTGAGTCATGTTGTAAATATAGAGGCGGTCTGGACCTCATCCTCAGTGATCGTTTTCAGATATCATTAAGCCAAAGAATTCAGAGGTAGAAGTATTAGTAAGAGAATTGCGTAGGGACGTGCGAGACGTTAAAACCGTTGTGCGAATGAAAACGACAGGGGCTTGGTTCAAAAGCGGTCAAGGACATGTCATGAGCGTGGCCCTCAACGCCGATCAGTGTGATGTGGGGCCAATGTATCGAGAGAATCTGAACGATTCTTTGCATACAACCTGGATTCTGGAGGCGGATGGCAATCGCTTTGGATATCGCTGGTACCGCTCGTGTGTGGTGTCCAGGTACGCGGCAAACGGGTTGGAACTATTGGTAGGGATCGATCTGGTGATTAGGATCAATTAAACGTTCCAACACAGTGTTCGTGGCTATTTTCGTCCAAGCACGGCACAGCCAAACCAAGTACTGCTCACGGATTCTCTCATACCGTTTCCTGGTGCATCCTCCGATATATCTTGCGCGAGCTAAACGTGGGAATGTGTATGCACAGAAGGAAGTGCTCGAACAACGAAGTCTGTCCTTGAGTTGATACCTCACGATTGGTGTTGAGGTAAAGCTTACACTTAATGTTACTAAGTAGCAGGTATGGTCAATGTCGGCGGATGGCCTTCTGGAAGTTACCTGCGCGATTTCATTCCCTTTGAAAGGTAACGATAGATAAACAAGTTTCTTTGGATTACACTGCTTTAGCTTTCGCTTCTCGACACCTTTTTTGTCTCCGAACGAAATTTCTGGATGACCATTCCCCTCACAAAGGCTACTTAAGAAATGCAACTGGTCAGGAAGGATTTTCTCATTAAAAATCCTTCTGATCCTTCCGATTAAATACCTAATCCAATTGTTGGTGATTCGGTGTTGCTCCTCCCAGCACTGTGACCCCAAAAACGACGGTTTTCTCTTTGTTTGTACTCGTCAGGTGGAGATACCTTGAGCTGGGATGAGACTCGGACTAAAGTGGTTAACGGCTGACGTCTTGATTACTATACCACTGATATCCATGAACAACGCTTGGCACAGCGGTAGGGAATTCAAATTGCCATTTGGTTACTTCTAATTGCACAGGTCTTAGTAGAGAATGGCCATTGCAATTCAACCATACAACGAGTGTACAAAATCCAACTTTGAATTCAAATCAATTCAAGCTTTATGTACCCAGTTGGCCGCATTTTCAGTATGTTACAGTATCAACTGCGAGTTAAGTAAAATGACCTCTGACAAATGCAAAATTTTATAATTATATGGAGTTTAGATCCATTTGATTTACAGCATGCGATGTTGGAGTTAAAATCTAGGAAGGTCTTCTGAAGCTTCAAAAGGACATACGATCATGATGCAACTTCGGGCAAAATAAAAAGGATTTTGCCGATCGAACTGATCCCCCTAACTGATATCCCAGACTTTGGGAAGTAGTTGAAATATATTTCCCGGCTTACTGTGGATTCGACAAAGTGGATTCTCTAACCAAAAGTATAAACAGATTGGACATCACAACAAGAGAACTTCGACTCTCCTTGTCAAGTCTGGGGCTGGACGTAAGCAACTTTGCTCAAGGACATCAGGCTCAAGACTCGCATTGATAGCTCAACAAATGTATTGTTACGAACTTACTACACCTCCTACTTCCTGACATGCGATACAGTTAAAAACAAACGATAACTAAATACAAATTCAACTATTAATGATGACTATTGTATATTTACAAACAAGTGGTTGCACTATGAATGTTATCTTGAGGATGAGAAATTAAAAAGTTATATGTAGAAAAGAACAGTGATACCAACATTAATAATTTTGTCATCATAAAAATATGTCCATATGAGCACCGACAACCACAGATTTACGTCTGTTATGCGTTGCGGATTGCTGAAATTGTGGTGATCAAGGGCGTGGTGCCATGGGAAACGGAAATGTTCAAAAGGTTGAGAATGGCTGGACTAGAGGACCCTCTACCCCACTGCACGCCAAGCAACTACGCACCGACGATGTCCCCTGGATTGGGGACGAAACATTTGCAACAAAATTGCCAGGCTCAGCGAATAGTTCAACTGCCGGTATACCACTTATTTATTTGCGGTCCGGTTCGTAAAGGGTATCGCCCATCAGTTTCTACTTAACAAAGTTTTGACTCATGTTGGAGTTGCTCAACATCTGGAATAGAAATACGAGGTAAGAGTTAAGCCTGTGAAGTCACGGTGGATCTAGATGGAACTGTTTACATATTCCGCGATAGTTAACTATAGGTAGCTCTTGTAATTACTTAGTAAGTGAACGTTGCACCCGCTTGATTGCTATTCTATCGCGTTTTCCAGAGTTGGTTAACACTAAGGAGTGATCTACTAGAATCACTCCTTACTGTCAACCAACTCTTCTGCAGGCTGGAAGCGCCTAAGCTATTGTGCTGCAATACAAAAGACAAGAAGATGAAAATACAACAGAGGCACGCCGGCTGAGCCCCCAGAAACGGATGGGCATCGTTCCGGAGAGCTAACAGCCGGCTATCGTGCAGCAAACACAGTTACATTATGCCTAACGCATCAAAGGGTGATTGGTTGGGGAGACTAAGCAAGAGGGGGATGGACCAATGAGCTCACAACACAAACGTTATTAGGGCCGGCTCCTAGCCATTTCAGCAAGTGTGTCCAAGCAAGGGTGTTCATCGCACTTAGGACCCCAGCCAGGCAGTCACGATGCACCAACCGACGCCAAATTGGAGGTGAGGGTTCTCATTTCTCTCGACCAAGTCATCGCTTGGTGTCCCCTCCTCATCCTCCAACCGCACGCGCGACGCGCTAACAATATACGTTGCTGAAGTCGGTGTGCTGGCATGCGCAACACGTGGCCTAGCCATTGGAGCCTGGTGGGTGACATAATGGTGTTGAGCGGATCACTGTCTTTCTGCACCAAATACGCGACGCCGAACACGCTAATTGCTCACGTGGTGCTCCCACCAGACATGAGCTAAGATGCGGAGGCAGCGATGATCCAACGTGGCTAGCCTCTTTATATCTGTTGACCTGATGGGCCAGATTACACAACCGTATAAGAGGGTTGAACGGACGGTCACATTATAAACTCTGCCGTTCAGGTCGAGAGTGATATCGCGTCTGCGCCACAAGTGGCGGAGATTGGTAAAAACACCTCGAGCTTTTGCTACACGGTTCGTAACCTCAGTTTCGATCCCACGGGCGCTAATATAGCTGCCCAGGTACTTGAATTCCTGAACGACTTCTAGCTGATCACCACAAAGCGCTAGCGCGGGGGTGGATCAGTGCCAAACTTGGAGAATTACTTTGCATTTTGATGGAGCAAAGTATAGCCCAAAACGACAGACAGTCAGTGCTGATCGGTCCAGGGCAGCCTGGCACGTTTGGGTGCTGTCACATATTAGGGCAATGTTGTCCACATACAGCAAGTTAAGAAGTCGCTTACCAGGGAGTAGCTCCGCACCTTCTAGGTTGTGTCCAGCGAGTGCTGTTTCCATGACTTCCCCAACAGCGAAGTTGAAGAGGAAAGGTGACAGCGGTCATCCTTTTCTCACACCACTGGAGATATTTAAGTGCGGCGACAGTTTGCCATAAACCTTTACTCAGCCTGAAACATGCTCGTACAGCGCTTGGATAATATTCACGTACACATCGGACACACCTTTTCTTAACAGACAGTCCCAAAGTGCACATCGATCCACCGAATGGAAGGCACCATTGATATCGAAAAATACGACAACGGTGGGTCGCCAGTAAATATGGCGGTGCATCAACGATTGACGCAAAGTGAAGATGTGATCGATGTATCCTGGATTTCGACGAAACCCGACTTGCTCTTCATGGATCTGAATTTCACGGGCGCCAGTCAGTCTGTGGAGAATGACAGAGAAAAGTAATATGGTGTTAATTGAATTCAAACCGATCTCTCTATGGTTGCCGCATTCCGAACGGTAATCTCCCTTAAAAATTGGGACTATGACGGAGCGGCTCCCATCTGTCGGGATAGTTTCCTGCTCCCAAAGTTCCATTGGCAAATAGTGTAAATCATGCACAAGAGCAGGTCCCCCGAATTTGTAGAGAGATGGTGGAATTCCATTGGCACCTGCGGCCTAATGCAATTCCAACCGTCAGCTCTCACGTTCGAC